CTTAGGGGGGTTATTGGTTAAGATACACGTTTTTTAAAAGAACTTTGTACGTGAACATGTATACATTATATGACCATTACATGTATGGTCCTCTATGGAATTGTTCTTCCATTTGTAATGTTTACTTGGCTGATTGAGTATTGAGCCGATTGAGTACGGAAAATAATTGTAATTAGGTCCCTGGAAAAGTGAATTGAGAGCGGGACAGTAATACTTGGGGGGGGGGGGGTGAAATGTTACACGCTCACGAACAGATTCTCTTACAAACGTGTAACTTACCCTCCCTATTGACTAGTGAACATTTACATATTGTATCAATGGAGTTGATAAAAGAAGACAAATTTTACTGGACTTGGATATGTAAGAGAAATATTTACACCGTTAACAACAATAAAAACGGCTAAATAATGGCACCTTCATGTTGAAATAATGTTGCAATTTTATTTGAAGTTTGAAGCATGGATGTATTTCACTTTGTCACATAAATTGTTTTGTACATGTGTTTGTTTCACTTTAATATAAGCAATCACAGATCAACAGCATAGATGGAATATACATAGACATTTATCTCACAATTAAAACTGATTTGCTTCAAAATAGTACTATTGTGGAAACACCATCAATGAAGACATACCATCAATGAGACACATAACAATGAAGACACATCATTGATGAAGATGCACTATATTATAAGAAGCAGCAAATTACAAAATGCTCAGATCTACAGAAAAAATATTAATTGTGATTTTCTTGTTCTTTGTTTTACTGTGCCAAGTTATAAGGGACTGGGAACACATCACCAAACAAGAAAAGAATAAGGGTATAACAAAAAATGTATTTATAAATGAAACAAAGATGCTAAAAGAAATTGGCAGACTGTTACAAAAGTACAAGCCATGGAGAAGCAGACAATTTAAGGGACATGAAAAATATGAACATTTTAGGAGGCAGCAAAAAATCACAAAATTTGTCATTGCAACTGAGGCTAGAAGTGGATCTTCCATATTTGGACATTGCTTGACTTTAAGTGGAACCGTGTTTTACATATTTGAACCATTTAAATACTTTAAAAAGATTGGAGAAGAAGATGTGGATCAAACTGAGTTACAAAGGTCTGGGCATGAACTTTTAAACAATATTCTAAACTGTAATATGCCCTTTCTACTGAAACAACATTTTAAGTATATGCATCTAGAATATGCGAAGAATATAATGGATGTTAAAAGAACATGTAGGGGTAATTCAACAAAGGGGACAAAGATAATACGGCTTTGCGATACAGAAATACTACACAAAACACTAGGGGGTGACACTGCTCTGATTTACCTTTTCAGAGACCCTCGAGCAATCATAAGCTCTAGAATGCAAGCAACAATTTCAACTTTTGAAGTTGCCATGGATAAGGTTTGCTACTGTGCACTTCGCAAATTAAGAAATGTGGCAAAATATATCAGATCAGAATATGCACAAAAACAAGATCCAGAGCAACCACCAATCATCATAGCTAAATATGAACAATTTGCGGATCATCCTGTGGAGTACATGAAAGTTCTCTACAAAGCCCTTAATCTTGACTTCAACACAAATGTTGAGCTACTGATTAAAAATCAAACAGGGACAAAACCAGATATTGAAAAATCCTTTGATTTATGGCGTAATGCTTCAGAGATTCCACATAAGTGGAAAACTGAGTTAAGCCGTGATGATATTTTCATCATACAAAATGACACTCGATGTAAGAAAATCATTGATGTGTTAGGTTACGAACTGATCACATAGAAATTGATCAAATATATTCTAATATTTAAATATACTTGTACATGATCAGATTATAAGATTACATGTACTTTATGTAAAGATTCTTTGGTCTTGTGTTGCTCCTTTCCCTTCCAAAATCCTGTCATGTTGGGGAAATATATTGTGTGAACAGCTCAGAGAAAGAGAGAAGAGACTTGATTAGTTTACTTTTGGACCAGATTCTTAAAAATAATCCATACCTTTCTAAAGCCTCTTCTAAATGTTGTTTTTTTGTTGTTGGTATAATTATTGCCAGACCATTTCTCTCTTGATATTGAAATGTAGCTGTAACCATATAGACACTTTCCATAATATGCAAAACATGAGAAAATGTTTTCATATGGTCAACTGAGCATTTAAAAATGTAGTGCTCATTTCCAGTAAGCTGTCATATTTTAAAATTTCAATTAGGATGTGATGTCAATGACTCTGAAATCTTAAACGATGACAGCCCACTTGAAATTAAGAGAACATTTTTAAATGATCAATACTGACCATATCAAAACGTTTTCCCATGTTTTTGTGGTGGAAAGTATACTTATAGTGACCATATCAAGTGAGAAATGATCTGGCAAAGAATACTCCTTTAGACAGATGTTGCTCACATAATACAAGTTTTTTATATTAATATTTCTTTTATCATTACGTCAAAGCCAGATATAAATACTACTTAAGTACATAACTCATGGATTTAGGATAGAATCCCCTATATTTAATTTCTATCTATTTCATATTTTTACTCTCATCTCCATAGTATCATTACTCTTAATGAAGACATCAATGCCGAAAGACAATATAATATTATAACTGGATAAGGCCAACAACAAGGCATAGCAAATCCCATTAGACATAATTATAGTGAATGTCAGAAGAGACAGCAAGTAATCATTTTCAAAATAACCACCAAAAATGAATGGCCAAAAGAGAAAGTGTCATTCTTGCATGTATTTAATGTAATGTAGAATGAAATATTTAAAAATGACTTCAAGTTTTCAAAATGAGTAAGTTATTGAGCAAATTGAGAAAATGTCTAATGTTCGTCCAAATTGTTACATATAAAATACCAACAATACTGATGGAGTTATAGCAAAAAGTGTAAAATGATGCCTTTTAGGCAAGTTGTCTAAAAATGTGAAGCTTCGAAGTATTTACATGTACAGTAAAATATCAACAGATCTATTTACTAAAGTTTTTCATTAATAGTAAAACATTTAAAAAATATCTACCACTTTTCAAAATGGCAGAGAACAGGAAATCTTTTTTTTGGCTTTTCTTGATATTTCTATGGTCTTCTGATCAATAGGGATATTCTATTTACTGAATTGTGGGAAAGGGGCATTCAGGGTAAATTTTGAAAACTAAGAAAACATATAAAATATCAAATGTAATGTAATCAGGTAATTTTCAAAATGTTTACACTGCCCTTGTATGATTCAAACAAAGCCTTAAAACAAAACACTACACAGCATCATATAAGTCTGTTCTCCCCCTTAACTTTTTATTTTTAAAGTTATCATACTTTCCCATGTATCATTTTAAAACTTAAGGAAAATGCTGATCACCATCCAAAAACTCAATTATGAAATCTTCTTTATAAAATTCCTACAATGTTTTTTGTATGGTTGTAGTTGACATTAATTAACAGTAGTACTCTAGGGATTTATTAGGAACAATATTTCAAGGCCATCAATTCTTAAACCGTCCTTGGCTATCAGTTATTTAACTGTTCTTAAAATGATCAGGAATTAGTTCCTAATAATGTCTCATTTGTACTTCAGGGATTAATCAGGAACAATAATTCAAGGTCACAAATTCTTAAATTGTCCTTGACTAGAAATTCAAAACCTGTTCTTAATATGTTCAGAGTCAGATTCTTAATACTGTCTCATTCAGTCATTTGTACTTCAGGGATTTATTAGGAACAATAATTCAAGGTCACCAATTCTTTGATTGTCCTTGACTAGAAATTCATAAACTGTTCTTAAAATGTTCAGGAACTGATTCCTAGTAATGTCTCATTTATACTTTAGGAATTTATTAGGAACAATAATTCAAGGTCACCAATTCTTTGATTGTCCTTGACTAGAAATTCATAAACTGTTCTTAATATGTTCAGGGACTGATTCCTAATACTGTCTCATTTGTACTTCAGGGATTAATTTAGGCCGCCTGAGCTGCTGGAGGGAAACATACGGATTATTAAAGAAGTGAAGTATGAATATCACTAAAAATGCTCTTAAAAATTTGGATTTTAACCAACTACTCTGAAATTTGATGTGTGATCAGCAAATTAAATTCTCTTTAAGATGATATAGTAATTCTATGTAATATCTAAATTGAAAAAATGGAAAACAGACTTATTACATGTATTTTGAAATATAATGACTGATATACTAAGCTCATTTGAAAAAGAAAACACTGGACTTGACTTTAAAGGTAAAATTCTATCTCTATTGATTTGATGAGTGTGGTCATTACTCATTAGCTGTACACTGGTCTGAAAATAGTTGCCTTTCAAATTTCAATTAGACTAGGAATAGTATATGAGACATACATATGAAGAAGAAAATAATGAAGTGCTGCACCTTTTAGAGGACTGCATTAATAATTTTGGACTTGTTTTAATAACAGAGTAGATGTAGATCATAGTACATGTATATGTAGATATACTTTTTTCACATCTTTACAGACATGTACTTGCTGTGTTTCTTTTTCACGTCTTTATAGGTTTATTTTATTTTGATGTGAGATAACTGCAGGTTTATGTACTTACTGTAGCCTTATATTTTATATTATCACACCTTACTTAACTTTTGTATTCTTGATTAAATATGTACTGTAAATATGTTTTGATTAAAAAATAAAAAATTAGACTAGGAACATCTCATGTCTGGTTGTGACCATTTACTTGGAGCAACGAATCAAACATATTCTTTGAATGTCCATGTCTGAAAGCTACTGTGGAAGTCTGTTATTTGTATATTGATCAGAAAGTTTAGATTCAAAATTACTTAAAATGTTGATATCATTTTCTTCAATAAAAAGTAAGATATCTCGACAGTTTAACCTCGTTTATGTCCTCAATCGGTTTTATCCTATTTACATTTGCATTTAAATATTGTTTCCTTCTGTAAACATTGTCAATAAGACAACAGCATTAATGAGTTGTTATTACCTAGACTGATGGATGTATGGATGTACATGTATGGAGGGCATTGAAGGCATTCTCTGTATCCCCCTGAACTATGTTCAATGGATAATAAATGTTGGTTCACAATAAAAAGCTGGTTCACGATAAAAGCTGGTTTACAATAAATGCAGGCTCACAATACAATTAATAATAAAAGCATACAAAAAGGCCTGACTTCCATTATATAATATCTCATTGACCTCTCATAAACATGTGATCAGATGAAAATAAATTTAAAAAACTACAATATCCCACATCAACAATGTTTTTTCGCAGTGTTGTGATATTTCTCAAGTAGCATATCTGTCAGTTCATCCAACTCATCAAAGTTGAGAAACTCTAACAAAGGATGTGGTAATGGTAGTTGACTTATTTTTGACTTTGTTTTGTATCCGAGAAACTGTCGTATTTTAAGACGTGTTATATCTGCAAGGGATCTTGGTGTATGGTAATACTGTTTTAGTACTGTAAACAATTCTACATCGTTAATCAACAACTTTGGTATGAATCGTTTAGGTGTAGCAGAGTCTAGCCAGTTACTTGCAACATTCAAATCACAACCCCCCTCTATAAGCAACCTAGCAACATCTGGGAGGTTAATCTTTACAGCGACCTCTAGTGGAAGATGTGGGTCTGGATCAGGCCACAGACAATTTTTGGCATTGACATTTACATCAGCATTACCTTTGATGAGGTCTAATAGCATTGCATACGGTGAATGGTGCCAGGATTTAAATGTGCAGATTGCGACCATTAGTGCTGTCTTTTGTTCACCATTTAGGATATCAGGATTAGCACCATGTTGTAGAAGCAATTTTACAATGTCCATGTGGCATTCTAATGTTGCGTTAATTAAAGCTGTATTTCCCGATGAATCCTGAAGGTCAATTAGAGCATCATGCTTTAAGAGAAATTTCACACAATCAATGAAGCCCATGCTTGCCGCGAAATGAAGTGCCGTTTTTTCCGACTTACTTTTCTGGTTAACATCACATCCTCTTTTTATTATTTCATCTGCTATTTTCATACTTGATTCTTTATCAAATGTTGGTAATTGTGATGCAAAGTACATTAATGGTGTTATTCCATCATTATCCGTTACATCCAAACTTGCCCCATGTTGTACTAGCTTTACAAACACATCGGGGAAATGATATCTTGAGGCATTATGTATGGGGTAAACACCACTACTCAAATCCCTCACATTTGGATTTGCACCAAAATCAAGTAACTTCTTTACTGTATTTTTGTGATGAATATGCGTCACTGCATACTGTAGGGCAGTGCATCCAAGAGAGTCTACTTGATTAACATCAGCCCCATGTTTAATAAACACCCACACAACATCTTCATTGTTATTATAGATACCCTCCAAAACATAACTTGGGCAGTGTCCATCTTTAGACTTTACCTTAGGATCAAATCCAAGTTTGAAAAGCCTTTCTATGATTTCTGTTGATGCGTGAATTGCTGCATTTTTCAGGACACGATGGGTGATGTCAATGTCTTCTTTCACATCTTTACTTGGAGTATAGTTTTCTGATTTTATGATTTCAAAGAAGATATCCCATTGTTTGTTACCTGCGAATGCTGTTGCATTTAGTAGCGTGTTGTAAAGTTCTTTATGAGTTCTCATACTTTCTGCTCACTTCTTCGCACAACATCAGCTATATTCCAGGTTGTCTCAGTTGCTTAGTGCCGATGACTGGAATAGAAATAAATGAATGCAATAGATTAAATGTGATGCTAAAATTAATGTTAAACAGTGCATAAAAACTAAGTTTAGTACTATCAAAACTGAGCCAAACCTCTTGAAAATTAAGTCAAATGTTCAAATAGATGTCCAGTAGGGATCTAAGTATATTGTTGATACATCTTTTAGTGATCTGATACATATATTTAGCTAATGATTCGACACATGATATAAGTGGATTCTCAGTGTCATCCATACATTACCATCATTTGTAAGGATTGGGTAAAACATTTAGATACTCACTTTTCTACTTAGACATATGTACATTTTTATCTTTCATTTCGACATGGGCTTTCAAGAGAAGAGTATGCAATATCCCATAAAAAAAATTAATCAAGGCGTCATTTCAAAATATCAAGAAAATCAATTCTTAGGCTAATAAAGGTATCATTTTTAGAATATCATGAAAATTATTAATTCTTAAAAGACTAATCAAGGTATCATTATTAAATTATCATGAAAATTCTTTATTCTTAAAAGACTAATCAAGGTATCATTGTTCAAATATCATGAAAATTCTTAATTCTTAAAATACTAATCAAGGTATCATTATTAAAATATCATGAAAATTCTTAATTCTTAAAAGACTAATCAAGGTATCATTGTTCAAATATCATGAAAATTATTAATTCTTAAAAGACTAATCAAGGTATCATTATTAAAATATCATGAAAATTATTAATTCTTAAAAGACTAATCAAGGTATCATTATTAAAATATCATGAAAATTATTAATTCTTTAAAGACTAATCAAGGTATTATTGTTCAAATATCATGAAAATTATTAATTCTTAAAAGACTAATCAAGGTATCATTATTAAAATATCATGAAAATTATTAATTCTTAAAAGACTAATCAAGGCTGATTCTTAGGCTGATTACTTTCAAAATATCATGAAATTGATTGATTGATGCTTAGGCTAACTTTTTTTGAAAAAGCCTGAAGTCAAACACAGCTATCAATCTTAAAATTTGTTATCACAAATAGCTGTGCAAAGTAGGGTCAAAAGAATGGTCACTATTTGCCCCAAGGTTCCAATACACTATTAAAGGATCTGGCCTGCTTTTTGAGGTTTGCTTGTAAAAAAGTTGAAAAATTAAGCCTTTCATCACCAAGGGTAAAATTAAGAAACAAATCATTTTTTAAATCAATTTTTAATCCCAAAATATTTTGTCCATTTTGCTAGTGTATAACTAGGATGTTTGATTATTGATGGTTATGTTAACATTTTGAAGTTATCACCCAAAAATGTGAAAATAATGCTAACTTTCTTTTTAACATCATATTTTTTCATTCATTTTTCATTTAAAAAGGTATACTTGAATAGTATAAATCAGGAAAAATAAAAACAATTAATTAAACAAATTTACTAATTATGTGACTATGCTTCTCTACTTAGTTGATCAGAGGGTGGGAGGTTGGTTGTTCTCCAACATTTTGTGGATTGAAACATTGAAAGGGTTAATCTTTAACTTTGTACCCAGCAAACATCTGAAAGCAGTCCAGATCATTAAAGCTAACACTCTCATCTTAACAATGGAGTATTGGAATCTGAGGACAAATAGCGGCATTAAGTTTTCATTAAGGAGTGCACTTTGAAACTCTACTTTGCATGGTAAAAGGATCATTCTTGACAATCCCCTTTACACTTGAAATACATTGTCTATTGAAAGCCCATGATATATTTAAATAAAAACAAGTTTTGACTGAAATAACTAATGAAACATAAAGCACCACTCAGCTGTAGTGAAGTATTCACATTATGGACCAACATGTAAAGAGCTAGAACATAAAATCAATTAATCAATGATTAATTATGATTATATTGATTTTCTGATTGAAATCAAGATCATGAACTTTAGTTAAATTACCCATGGGCAGTACAATGTTTCTATCTTTGAATCAGTTCATTTGTAATATACATGGTACAAGTGAATACCTATAGACTATTGAGTTACTTAACACAAGATTTATACACTTTTATCATTTTCAGGTAGCATATGGTACGCCAGGTAGAAGTAGTTGGTAAAGTCTAAAATGAACAAACAAAAGGAGTACATGTATTAACAATCTGCTATCTGACTAGGTACAAAATTTTGGTGACATAAAATCTGCTATTAAAATTGATTTCTCAATTCACCTTAAATAGCAACTTCTGTGAGAAACGGTTTTAATTTCATCAAATTAATTTTCAAGTAAACATGACCCATTAATGACATACAATAGTCGTTGACAATTATATCTACATCTAAAGTAATCAAAATGCTGAAAATATAATTATGAGCAATTTTGCTAATTGCCTCAGGTCTAAATGTTTGAATTACATTAACTATATCACAGTGAACCAAATATCAATTTAACTGACAAAATAAATTAGGAATTTTCAAATAGATATCACATATTGGTATTTGCAGCAAAGGGACCAGACAGAATCAGTCAATAATGCTATATGTAGGAACACAGGTGACCAAAGCTGTTAACATAAACTAAAACTTTGGATGTTAACATTATCAGGAAACACACCTGAAAAACATTTTCCTTTTCACAGGATTTATAAAGGTAATCATTAACATTCTAAATGAACATTTAGACTTAGTAACCGAAAATAATGAACATGATGAAATGTAAAAGACAAAGCAAGTGTATCCTGATGTATGTGCTTATAATAGGAATATTATGGTCAGGATCTGCAGTATGGAAAATTGCGAGAAACACTTTAACGACCAATACGAATTGCAAAAACATTACAAAAGGTCTCCAGCAAAAGTTCACAGCATCCATAGCCAAAATAGAATCAATATTCCACATAAACAGCCTGCATCAACAAAACAATAGATCATTATCCCAATCAAATGATTTCACCATATTGATACTGGTTTGCTCAAATCCAAAAAACACTCATCTAAGGAAAGCAATCAGGAAAACATGGTTATCTATGAAGCATCCAACTCCAAATATTACCATTAAGTATAGGTTTGTTATAGGAAATACTGATGATAACTCAATTCAAGAAAATATAAAAACAGAGATTGATAAATTCGATGATATTGTACATGGTGATTTTGTGGATTCATATCTAAATCTAACAATAAAGACGCTGTATGCAATGAAATGGGCGATTTTTAATGAGCCAAATGTTAATTATGTGTTAAAGGCTGATGACGATGCTTTTATTAATATTTTCAATATCCCTAGATTTTTGTATGAAAAGCAACTGAAAAGGACATGCCTGGGTTACATGATTACCAATGTTCCTCCTGATCGCAATCCTGCCTCAAAATGGTATGTTCCAAAATCATCATTTCCAAATCCAATTTACCCAGCATTTACTGCAGGATGGGCTTACGTTATATCCATGGATATGCTACCAGAACTCTACAAAACAGCTAAGGCTACAAACTTTTTCTACCTAGAGGACATTTTTCTGACAGGAATCTGTAGAAGCAAAATTAAAGGCAAAGTCATGGGCAATGCTAACTTTAAAGCAAGATTAGATTCGAGCAATGATGATGAAGTGAAGACATTTTTCGCTGTTCATTTTACAACTGAAAAAAATCATTATGAATATTGGAAAGCTCAAAAGAGAGTGGGTTCTCATAACCTTGATGGCAATGAAATCTGACATTGTTTATGGATGGAATCTCAAAACCTTGATGGCAATGAAATCTGACATTGTTTATATTATTATGGATGGAAGTCACAGAAACATGATGTGAAGCACATAATTAACATTATTATCGTAACCTAACATTGGCTTTAAACTCATACTTGCTGATAAATGAAATACATCAGTGAAGCTGGATCAAAGTATGATCAAAGTATGAGATGAGGAGCAATTGGAGATTTGATAAAGAATACAAAAAGTGTTCCAAATGAACACCATGATAATGCAGATTTTCTCATCATTAACCATGAATGACTATTGTTATGTTTTCTCTCATTAATGAGTGCATAGATATTTGATATGTATTAAAAATAGGGAAGACATGTGAAAGGTTATTTTCCCTCTAAATAAAAATTTATGAAGTTATGTCCAAATGCAGTACAAAAGTGTATAATTATGGGGAATATAGTTTTAAAGAACTTGTATCCATAAACACCATATAACATGTATAAGCATATTCTCACATTGGACGATCAGTGTTCATATCAGAATTAGCAATGCAGAATAAGCAACATACATGTAGATGACAAACTTAAAACAATGCCAAGCTTGGATGTATTAATTAATGTATTGGTAGTGTCTAGAGGATAACTCTTTTTTCAAAAACAAAATCAATTGATTTGTCAAACATCAACCCTTATAAGCAGGGATGCTTTTTCAAATAAGCATCTGCTTTGAGTGAATATGAAGATATCAAATTCCATTTCATGATCAAAAATATAAAACAATTCTGTTCTAATGAGATTCAATATTTTGACCTCATAAGGAAAATCTTTCATGTCTCCTCTTTTGAAGAGGGAACAACGAATACGACAATTATATTCCAATGAGATTTACTGATGTTCCAGAGGACATTGCTGCCTGAAAAAGCATATTTGCCAGATTGAGTATTGCATGCAGTCTGGCAATCTTGCCTGATTTTGGTGACTGACATAATGTTATGGTATCAGAGTTTCACATTCTGTTTGTCAATGGTTTGAAACAATCAACAGGTTTCCATTAGTCAATGGTTGGAAATAGCCAATGGTTGTTCATTAGTTAATGGTTGGAAATAGTCAATGGTTGTTCATTAGTTAATGATTGGAAATAGTCAATGGTTGTTCATTAGTTAATGGTTGGAATTAGTCAATGGTTGTTCATTAGTTAATGGTTGGAAATAGTCAATGGTTGTCCATTAGTTAATGGTTGGAAATAGTCAATGGTTGTTCATTAGTTAATGGTTGAAAATGGTCAATGGTTGTCCAATAGTCAATGGTTGAAAATAGTCAATGGTTGTTCATTAGTTAATGGTTGAAAATAGTCAATGGTTGTCCAATAGTCAATGGTTGGAAATAGTCAAGGGTTGTCCATTAGTTAACAGTTCTTGCCAAATCAGGCATCTGATCCTAAAAGCTGGTATAATATTATAATGGAGTTATGTTACTAACAAAGGGCCTATCAGCCATATCAAAGTGCCCTAACTGTCCTTAATTAACAAAAACTGGTAATTAACATGTAAATAACGATGTCATAAATGTAAAAATGTAAATAAACATGATTTTTAAATTATCTAACCTTGACCTCTAATATAATTTTTCATATTTGAGCCAGGCCACGGGAAAAGGGGTCTTATCACATATTTTTCAATATTTTGATTTTTTTGTTTATCTTAAAAACCACAAAGAGACCTTTCAAATGAGCCATGGCTTATGCCCTAACAATTTTTTCTTGCAGATATAGACCAAAAGACGGATTTGAATTTAGCACATTTTCCTCTTGATCTTGAGCACATTTTGGCTCTGTAGCACAATTTTAATTTTGGTGATAAGACCGGTTTTCCCATGGCCAGTCTCATTTAACAAATTAACATTTAGTGTCATCCCCAATCTATGTGTGCATTCGTTATATCCCATATCACTCTACTATACCTAACCCCTAGAAAAGATCTAGATCTGTGTCAAAACAGAAACTTGTAATTTGTCCACATTTTAATCACCTTTGTCTCCTAATGATTTTAGCAATTATCCTTTTAATCAAATTCAGTTCTAATCAATGCTTTATCAACGTGAATATCAATTAATTACAAGCTATTTCATGACATTTACAGACACCATTATTTTCAGGAGGTAACCAAAGTTCAACCCGTTGATTTATGGTCAAGTAGTCTGCCATATGTGTCTGTTAAATCCTGACATAACGTTGTCCTGCTCCAACCGATATTGAAAATCAATATCAATAATATTATTAGTCAATATCATGTAGCTATCGAATAAGGTTTTGATCATTCCTGTGGATCAATCTGGAGGTCTCTAAGGCCTAGTAGTTTACCTTTTTCAACAACAATCAACAACAAAATAAAAATAATTATTTTTCTGATTTTATTTTATTTTTTAAATGGTTGCCCAAGGGAGGTGTGCCAGAGGGGGAGCAAGGAGTTGTCCCCCCAAAAAATATTGACCATTTCCACTTGCTATTTTATGACGTCTGGGCACTTTTAAAGTGTCTGAGAAAATAACCAGAATAAATTCAGAATTTTTTGGGGAGGGGGGTGAGAAGATTTTACAATTTTGAGATCCTATTTGGTGGTCCCTAGGCACTTTCAAAGTGTATAAGTCAATTAAAAAAGAAATAAATTTTTTTTTATTTTGGGGGAATGCCAAAGGGAGGTGCGCAAGAGAGGGAGCAAAAACACATTGACCTTTGCTGTATTTGTCTTGAATTTGATGAGCATTTTAAATTGGCGAATTTTTGCAAATTGAAAAAATTGCCAAATTAAATAGTCGCCAAAATCCCCTGGAATTTGACATGTTTTCCATTCAGTGTATTTAACAGATAAGAAATATTGAAAAAAAATTGTTCATCAACAACACTGACAATGGATATTTTGAATTTTGTTAGACAGGAGGATGTCGGGGACACTTAAAAAACCGCCAAATTAAATAGACGCCAATTTGGCCAAACATACAAAATCGCAAAATTAAGTAGCACCAAATTAAAGACAAATACAGTATTCAACTTGCTAGATGATGTCTAGACACATTTAAAACGTCTGAGACAATAAATAGAATAAATTCAGATTTTTTCAAATATTCTGAAGTAAGGGGTGGCCCATAAATTTCACAATTTTAAGAAGCTATTTGGTGATTTCAGGGAACTTTCATGTATGAGTCAATGGTCCTTTTTCCATATAGCTTTGAAATCTCATTAAAGTCTTGTTTTCAATGAGATTTTAGGAGATCTTCATTTTTAACCATTAAAGACTAACATTTTCTTCTATTTGATGGCATATTTGAATACTGTGTGTAATTTTCTACCAAAACAATTTTGATTTGCACCATTATTTACCTTTATTCAAATTCTAATGATTTTATAGTTGTCTAAAAAAGGTTGAGCTAAATCCCCATTGACATAATGCTGAAAAACCTTTAAAAGTTCATTTACTCTCACGAGGATCACAATTTTAATGTGAAATCACAATCCACATATCAATAGGATTATATAGTTATTATTCCAATGGTGTTTTAAGTTGATCCAAATGTAATTACTTCTTAAATCAAGAAATTAAGTGACTCTGGTAATACATTTACATGTATTCTAGCCCTACCCTAGCCCTACCAATACCCATGATGCCATCTATTAAGAAAAATTGAAAATTAAAATTGGGGGTTGCAATTGCACCCAACGCACCCCCATCTGACGGCCCTGCCATTAGTCAATGTGAAGTTAAATTATCAATATTGACCACATCAAAGGAGCGAGTATTATTGCTTGATGTGTCTACATAGTTGAAGGGAGAGCATATTGTTAAACAAGGATCTCTTGATGTACACATACAAACAGTTAAGTACAGCAGTATTTTAATCTAGCAAGTTCCTCCATCGCAATGCAAACTCTACCAGTGCCTAGAGAACATCAAAGCCAATGCAAACAAGTCACTAGTATTGCCAAACCTAGAATATGTTGAAGCAGCATGGAATCCTTACCGCCAGAGCAATAAGTCAAGTATATCACAAATGTAGATCTTTCAATTTTTTTGTGCAGAAACAGTGTGTGCAGAAACAGTATATTGCAATACTTGTCACATTACTTCAATTTACAAGCTTATTGAGCAAAAGCATAAAATACTTGCCCATATTAATGTCTTTAACTCATCAGAAATTTCTATTAAAGGACAACTGAAATAGCTTTTCTCAACATGCAGCTACAAAAATGCGGTTTTCTCCATTGTAAGCCCACCGTAGAGTTCTTGCGATAGCCATTATAAAATAAATGTTAGATAACTGCTAACGGTCATAGATAACGAAACCAGAACAACGGCAACGCCAAAGCGTAGCGAATCCCATCGAACATTTTTCAAAAGGGGCACCTTCTACCAAAAGTGTCATTAGACAGTGTGCCATGCTTATAATATTCACATACCAAATATGAACAAAATCGCTCTACTACTTTTCGAGTTATAGTAAAATACGTTAAAATGGTGGCCATTTTGAAAAATGGCCGCCTTCTACCAAAAGTCTCATTAGACAGTGTGCCATGCTTATACGGATTCACGTACCAAATATGAACAAAATCGCTCCACTACTTTTCGAGTTATAGTAAAATAAGTTAAAATGGCAGCATTTTTCAAAATGGCAGCCATTTTTCAAAATGTCCGCCATTTTTCAAAATGGCCGCCTTCAACCAAAAAGTGTCATTAGACAGTGTGCCATGCTTACAGTATTCACATACCGAATATGAACAAAATCGCTCCACTACTTTTCGAGTTATAGTAAAATACATTAAAATGGCGGCCATTTTGAAAAATGACCGCCCTCTACCAAAAGTGTCATTAGACAGTGTGCCATGCTTATACGTATTAACATACCAAATGAACAAAATCGCTCCACTACTTTTCGAGTTTTAGTAAAATAAGTTAAAATGGCGGCCATTTTTCAAAATGGCCGCCTTCTACCAAAAGTGTCATTAGACAGTGTGCCATGCTTATACGTATTAACATACCAAATATGAACAAAATCGCTCTACTACTTTTCGAGTTACAGCAAAAATCGTAAAATAACGAGTAAAGACCGCCATTTTTCAAGATGGCTGCCATGTGCTTTTTTAATATCTACATTTCTAGCTTTATTTATGTCCTATATAATTTTTTTTACATTTAAAACATATTGCTATTACAGTTTTACATATTGCACCTAAATTACTGTAAAATCGGCACTAAAATGGCCGCCATTTTTAAATGAGTGGCCATTTTGAAAATCGGCTTTCGAGCAGAACTTCTACCCCCATAGGGTATATGTGAACAAAATATGAATAAAATCGGGCCAACGGTATTTGAGTTATTGCCCGGACGGACGGACGGACGGACGTACGGACGGACGGACGGACGTACGGACGGACGGACGTACGTACGGACGGACGGAGGCGTTCCCTATATCCCTCCGAACTTCGTTCGATGGGATAATAAAACTAACTGATAAATCAAATTGGCCCCCACGTGATTAGTAACGTCATATACAAAATATAGCTTTGGTTTATTGGTTCCATAGTAATCACAACGTCACGGCAACCATAGGATTGTTGTGTAAACAAATAACAAAACATTTTGGCATTATGACGTTATGATCTAATGGACCAAAACGGGCCAAGTGGGGACCAGTGAGAGATCACGTGGGGGCCAATAACGTCACAACCAATTCGAATATTGCTTATTAAGCAGCTATAACGATCGTTAGAGTGAAATAGTTTTCACACTACTAATGAGAAAACATGTCCAAATACATCTATCAAAAAATTAAATTGATTCCTTTAGGTTAAAAATATCATTTCATATCTGCTTTAATCATTTAAACATTTTCTTCACTTTGACTTGACCCCTGACTAGATTCAATGGCGATGGAATCGGCGTAGATACAGTCAGGTTCATAAATAAAATACACCTGAGATTTTTGGCACAGTTTACTAGAACATATACTCCTGTAAATCATTATTACCAGAATAAATGTTTCCGAGGTGTTATATTGGCGTATGGTGGATAGTTTGTAAACATGTAAAATATAGTATAATAAATATTATAGTTATGTAAGTGGTTAAATGTTATTTTAAAATGGATTGTTGAAGAATTGTTTTTGCGACTATGCACAATTATTTTCAAATATGGTGGACATCGTATTCTGAACCAGTGATAATATCACTGCAGCTGGCAGATTGGTTTCCGGAAGCATGGTAACTTCGAATAAACTATTGAAGTGATTGGTTCTAGTTCTGGCTGTTATTGCGAGATCAGCACGTGATTATAAAATCTAGACAATTTCATTGGTTGGATTGTGTGTATTAAGGTGCAGTGGTACTTAACAGGAAATGACAAAACAGGAAGTGACAAAATATGTTGCATTTTTAGACATTTTTGAACAAAGATAACAGATTTCTGTTTTGACCTCCAGTTTTGACCTCCAGTCAATTCAAATAGTTCCACATATCATTTACAGGACCAGGATCACAATGTCCATGATACATCTTGACATATACCAAGTCCACATTAAAGGTATTTTACTGAAATGTAAGAAATCGTTGGAACACTTACATAACTTCAATCAATAACATCATAAAATATTGGTTTAATATTCTCAGAACGCTAGCTGGAGTCGGAAGACAGAGTAATAGGCGAAAAATGTATTTGGAACTTGTTATTTTCCATGTCGTCCTGACCAGGAAGTCTTGCCAAATGCGCATGCGTGTAACCGGAAGCAGAAATCTCATGGCATGGAGGCGCATGCGCATTACCAAACTTCCTAGAAGCCATCTTGGAAATTATCGACTCTTCAACATTTTTCGTCAATTACGCTGTCTCCCGACTCCGGATAGCCCGATATGGTAAAAAAAAATTATTGGGACTGGGAATATTGAGTTTTGCATAGCCATCTATCTAAAAGATGGCAATGTGCAAATTTAGTAAGTGATAGTCATTATTTATGTTCCCAACTTTATGTGATCCACAATTTTTTCCCAAAATGTTATTTTCCAGCTGTAAACTATCTACCTCATCTTTTCAAAATGTATTCCACCAATTCCCTTTTTGATTTTCGACCCACCTTTTTCACTTATCTGTTTGCAGGATAGCCACATACACTCATTAACCTGGGGCCAACTATGCCAGAACAACCATAGGCTAAGGGTTAAGTAATAGTAAGCTGTATATAGAAGAGACAGGTGAACAACTAGGATTTAGGCCACTTGTTAACATGGTGATTTTAACATTATTTGTGTATAATTTTCAAAAAACAATGCAGAGTTGATCCAAAATTGATAGTTCTCAATTCTTACCTATGAATCAACCACATTCAAGGGATATAGAGTGAATAAAGCCATCTTGAGGCGAGATATTCTGAAAACCTACAATTGCCTGGCAAGTTACCCGGATTTCCGTGTTGAATCATGAATGGAAGTTTGAAACAAGGAATTTGATTGGTTCCTGCTAACCGCCGCCAGTGACACCTATCTGGTTCTCTAAAATGTAATTCATTTTCTAGAAATAACAATCAATTAAAGTGTACAAAACTATAAAAGGTTTACTTAATAATTATTTATCAAAACATCTGATTCATATAATATCTTTTTAAACCCAATTTAAATGGTGAAATTAACATTTTTCTTGGAATTTTAAACTTCTAATTACAACCAATCAAATCAATCGTTACAAGATTCAATCTTTCCATGTGTACGGAAGTTTCAACTTGCCGGGCAATTGCAGGTTCGTACAGTTGGTGTTTTTTTATGCTGTCTTATCGAAGAGTTAGGATATATATTTGAAATATTCAACAATCTACGTTTTGAAAACACTTTGGAGAAGATTCTTGGTAGTCATATAAATCTGACCCTCGTATGATGTTATCTGTTGTTATTTTTTCTGATTTGGATATTTATTTTTTCTTATTTTCTTGCATACGAGCGTCATACACACTTCCCTCATCTAAATTGCGGGAAATGCTTTCCTGGCCTGTCAACCCAACCAAATTCACACAAATGATAAATAAATTTCTTTGTTTCAACTATGGAGTATTTAATCTTACCTTAGGCACGTAAAACGCTTGGTAATTGAAGAAATATAAGCATGCCGCTTGAATTTTAAAATTTTTTCATTTTGCCATACCAAGGTCACTTCCGGGTTAATCTGAGTCTAGATGTAAAACTATATCAAACGAAATCATAAATATTTGTTACACGAAGATTCAGTTGAAAGGAAAGCAGTGTCGTTAAGAAGGGAAGTTATTTAGAAAAGTTATTGTTTCAAAATGAGTAAAGTGATAAGTATGAGAGAACGGCTTTGGAATCGATCTCTGCGTAATAAATAATTATGATTCCGTTTCGATACATGTTTTACATTTAGACTACCGGAAACAACATTTAGCAACATGGCGGGCGATAATGAAAATATAATTCAATTGAATATATTTCGTCAATTATCAAGCGTTTTACATGTCTAAGGTAAGATTTAACACTTTGATGTTGGAGCTAAATAATTACTCGATAATTTGTGTGACTTTGGTTGGTATGGTAACTATGGTTACCCAGACAGGCCAGGAAAGCGTTTACCGCAATTTGTTCCATATAATATCTACGACCGTATATGCAAAGAAAATGATAAAAAATAAATATCCAAATAACAACTAGGAATATCGAAGAACAGCATATAACGGTCGGATTTATATGACTAATTCTTGGGAGATTTGGTGGTACGACTCGATACCAGTAAGGAGAACTCGTACCAAGACGGCAAGTTTTTGAAAAAATTTTCAATCCTAATTGTTTACCTGTCTCTTCTATATACAGCTTACTATTACTTAACCCTTAGCCTATGAGAACAACGAACATTTGTCATTTGACTTTGAGTTTGAAATTTTGACAGGCAATTTTTTCAAAATTGTTTTCGTTCCACCACTACCTTACACAGAGTTTTCAACATTAACGATTTTAATATCATTATGAAGCATGGTACTATCGTTATCTGTTTAGTCACTTACCATTGTTGTGATGATGCCCCTTTATTGGCCTTTAGACGAAACATTAGTCAAAAGCGAAAACGGAAATGTCTTGAATTTTTTTCATTTCCGGTGAGATGCATCAAATTTTCGAACGACACCAAACTTTGTTCAAATCTTGTTCGCCTTTCTTTGTCGATTGGCAAAGATGGATGGTTGATACCTGGACTGGAGAGTGGAGACTGGTGGTGTGAACTGCGACTTGCGTAACTCATAGGCGTAGCCAGGGGTTGCGATCGAACCAGTAAAAACTAGATGACGGAAACTCCACGGAGTAGCAAATCCCAACGAACAAAATATCAATTACCGAATTCCAATCAATTATACTCATTACTTTGGTTAAAATTTAAAAATTTAGATTTTAGAATTGCGAATTCCTGCAAAGCAGCCATTTTGAATTTTCTGAGGTACAAATCTGAAAAATAATACCATAATTGTGATCTACTCCAAAATTCCTTCAATTTGAGTATAATATAGCCATACTCTGAAGGGATCGAAAAATTATTGCGAAATCGTACATTAGACGGCCTTTTTGAATTTTACGAGGCTCGAATCAGAAAAAGATACAATATTTGCAATCTACTCTTCATTGCCTTTCATTTGAGTATAATAAAGCTATACTTCAGAAAGATCTAAAAATTAGCGAAAATTTCTGTTTTCCTGGCCCCTCCATACACGGCCCCTGGGCGTCAGGATAAAAACACGGAATATATGTGAAATAGATAGATGTTGCGAATATACTACCAAAATTTCAAACAATAATATTAATTACTTTGGTTTAGAATGAAAAATTTATGATTTTTGCGAAAAAGTCCCGTCATTTTTAAAGCGGCGGCCATCTTGGAAATTTTTTTTTTGCATAAAACTATTCATCAATATACATCTTTCCACCAAATATGAAGAAAATCCGTCAACTAGTATTTGAGTTATCTATCTTCCGGACAGACGGACGGACTGACTGACTGACGGACTGACGGACAGACGGACAGACGGACAGACGGACGGAGGGCTTCACTATATCCCTACCGAACTTCGTTCGTTGGGATAATAAAAGCATGAGAAAGAAGGAGAAAAGAGCGAAATGCTTTATCAGTATTTGAAGTTTTAGCTCAATTGAAAAATAAAAAAATCGAATTTTCTCTCTACAGTCCTTGTTGCCCCTTTAATAATAATTCACAGATGCAAATCTTTAACTCAAAAGAAGACAATGAACAATTTTACCATTCATCTTATTCATTAATTTATTCTACATGCAAAATATTTCATACCAAAAGCTTACTATTAAAGTATCACTAACAATGAGGAAATCAAGTTCTAGTTAATATAAGAGCAAACATCAAAAGCAAAAATCTGCAGTCAGGTGAACATCATAAAATTCCTTAAAAAATTCCTTACAGTTGTTCTTATTAAATGATAAAATAATAATTTGCCCATTGATACCAAGTCTAAAACAACAGCATTAAGCAATCAGAATTATAAATTGATTCCAATCTTACAATTTATACAAGACAATTTTCCATTAAAATGTGATGTAAGTAACAAAATGATGTACGGGTAGGTACAAGAATGACGCTGATACTATACTTAGCATATGACACAACATGACGTACCATAAATAAAGCAACGTTTCAACTTTTACAAGGCCAAATGAAATAGATACTCTGACATAGTTCAGTTAGAACAACTGCATCATATTTTGAATGACTCAAGAGTGTACTTAGCCTTGCCCAAGTCGGTATTTTTTTACTTATAGAAATCAAGATAGTAAAAGAGACCGACTTGGGCAAGGCTAGAGTGTACTTTATGAGGTGAAATTGACATCACTTTGCTCAAATCAGCTGACTGCAGTTTTGACTATCTTACTATTCAATTGATACAATGTAATTATAGTACGAATATTGATTACTAAGCAATAACTGATAATATAATGAGTGGGCCTCTACAAAGGAAGTTGCATCAATTTTTGTAACTTAAAAATAAATCGCACAGCAGATAGTTACACGCAGGAAAACCCTTTGGTACAACGCGCGTCGGATGGCATTCGTATTACGCCTTTCGGTGCGCGTCGGTATAATGGGTTTCGGAATAATGCGCGGACCCCCTAAAACATAGCAGTATGGGGTTAATGACCATGAAAGCAAGATGGCTGAAAAAACAATTAATCAGTTCTTGAACTTCTTAAAATGGAACATGTGTAAAAAGTAAATCCGTAAAGTGGTTTTCCTAAAATCGCGATGACAAGATTAATCTAAGAACTTCCAAAATGACCTGGAATCGTGATGACAAGAACACGGTGTCCAACCCAAACGCTCGTACATGCACGACGGAGCGTTTCATTACTGAAACTAAACAAAGAAATGCTCCGGAGTAGGACAACTGGCGGGCGGGAATGATGAGCCGTCTGACGATTTCCCCAATAATAATAAGAGGTAGGCCTATGAGTTACATTTTTCGAGTATACCATTCGATGGGATGATATTCATGTTGTACATGCTGGCTGTTGATGTTTGAAGCAATTAGGAAGAGCTGTACGAAGCAGTATAGTTATCAAAATTCAAAAACGTATTTGTCATTCTACCGGTCAAAACCCCTTTTGTCGAGACATGTGATTAGTTGAGCCAAGATTAGAGCACCAACGTATATTTTGGTCAAATTCCAACGTTTCAACGCACAATACATTATCGTAATAGTGATTTGATGACCGAAAATCCAGTCTTAAAAATGATATATTCAAGAAACGCTCCGATCTGGTTAACACAGTGAACTGGAAACGCTCCGGTAGTCCAGATCTGTTTAGGAAATATATAGCTTGCCTTTCCTTTACAGGAAGAGAAAGAAAAGATCTATTATACCCCTTGGCATCAAAAGAAGAAATATTAATTCACATATAAGCTTTTCGTTTTTTCAATAGTTTTATGATTTAGCACACATGTAGGCATGACATCATCTAATGTAGGCTAAAGTCAGCTAGTTGCACGTTTTGCACCACCAGGTTTGGACGTTTCAATTTGCCTAAAAAGTACAACACGTTTTTGAGAGATAGATTCGATTCCGAACTCTTCTACTCTAATAATCTGAAAATGATATCAAAACAAAATGGTAAGAGCATTTCTAAAATTGTGTCCTAAATCGAGGGAGCGTTTCGAAGAAAACAAGCGATTTCTCGAGAACAAGTAATGGATTTGGACTGGGATTTTGGGAAATTAGAAGATACGAGTTTGTGATCTACAACTTTGATAGAGAGACTGACGTTTTCATATAAATACTAGTTTAATTCGTAATTTGTGGTCAATTCGTCATCTTCAGGTTCGTTCGATCTACACTACGGAGCTTTGATCAAGCAAATACCAGTTTACCGCCAGAAGTTGAATAAATAAGATGTTTGCTCACGGTATTGTTCATCGAATGATACATAATATGTCATCATAACGTATAATATGTAAGAGAAACGAGTGAAATAGCCGCCATTTTATTCTGCTCCGCAGCGTTTCCGCGTAAATGAAACGCTCCGTCGTGCATGTAAAAGCATTTGGGTTGGACACCGTGAAGAAAGTGATCTTTTTTAAAGGCGTTGTTTCTTAGAAAATCGTGAATTTATTTGAAACTAAATTTTGGTATCACGTAACTTATTAATAAGCGATAATTCACACCAATGCATAGCATATTCATCCTCATGTGTTTCAGCGCTTGGTTAATAATTAAGCAAGAAATTACTCATCCATACAGGAAAGATCTTGGATTTCCAAGGTACAACGAGGTATGAAAACCAAACAGCAGATTCAGAGAAAAATGCACTCGAGAGCTAAAAACCATGTGACACATATTAAGTTGTCTTTCCAATTCTGACAAATTGTATTTGTTTGATTTCTCAGTCAATCAGTTGTCTCCTTGTAGAGCTATTTCAATCTGATAAACAAGGCACATAACGTGAACGAGATCACATCATCGAAAAACCTTCAAAATGGTCGGCAGGAAACAATATGGCAAACCAAAAGTTGATATCCTCTATCATGTGTGCGAATTTGGAGAAAATCCGATGTGCGGTTTTCCTAAAATGGCGATGACAAGATAATCGAAAAACCTTCAAAATGGCCGCCAGAAAACAAGATGGCAGCCAAAAAGTCAATCAGCTCTAGAACTTGATATCCTCTATCATGTGTGCGAATTTTTGAGAAAATCTGATGAGCGGTTATCCTAAAATGGCGATGACAAGATATGTCGAAAAACCTTCAAAATGACCGCCAGAAAACAAGATGGCAGTCAAAAAGTCAACCAGCTCTTGAACTTGATATCCTCTATCATGTCTTCGAATTTGGAGAAAATCTGATGAGCGGTTTTCTTGAAATGGCGATGACAAAAAAGAGTTTTATAATTTAGCACACATGTATCAATCACGATCACGATAGCGATCACGCCGTCATAATGACGACTTTATCTCACAGATTTATATTACAATAAACAATGCACATGGCAGCTGAACATAATATAATCATATACTTTTACCTATATTATACATATGATTTATTCAACATTTATTTTTAATCTAAAACGATGATCTATCCAGTCCACTCGTATAAATGAGGTAATATATGTAAATGTATAAACAACACTAAACTAGAAACACTATTCAAGAACAGTAGACATATTTTTCACATTAACAACACTTGAAAAGTCTTTCTCCAGTCTGAGTTCTCATGTGCATCTTTACATTACTAGGCCTATTGGTCGAAAACATTAAGTATTCTCAATATTCACATCCAAAGGTTTTTAGCCAGTGTGAACTTCCATTTGACAGTGTATCTTAAAATTAGGCTACTATGTATGTAAATTAAAATAGAACACTTCCAACTGGAATTGCCAAAACAATGTTCACATTTAAAAGTATTATGTGATTTTGAAATTACTAGATGCACCAAAACATTCTTAACAATATTCACATTTGAATTTGAAAGTGTTTTCACTTGTATGAGTTCTCACATGTATCTTCAAAGTACCAGATGTACTAAAACATTTTTCATTGCCTAATGTTCACATAAAAGGTCATTCTGCTGTAGAGTTTTTATGAGTTCTTCGTATGAGTATGTATGTGTCTCTTTAAACTAAAAAATTCACCAAAACATTTTTCACAATGTTCACACTTAAAGGGTCTTTCTCCGCTGTGAATTCTCATGTGTGCTTTTAAATGACTAGATTCACCACAGCATTTTCCGCAATGTTCACATTTATAAGGCCCTTCTCCAGTGTGAGTTATCATGTGTCTCTTTAAACTACTAGATGTACTAAAACATTTTTCACAATGTTCACATTTAAAGGGTTTTTCTCCAGTGTGAGTTCTCATGTGTCTCTTTAAATAACAATTTTCGCTAAAAGATTTTTCACAATGTTCACAATTAAAAGGTCTTTCTCCCGAGTGAATTTTCATGTGTATCTTTAAACTGCTAGATGTACTAAAACATTTTTCACAATGATCACATTTAACAGATTCTTCTCCTGTGTGAGTTATTATGTGTCTCTTTAAACTATTAGATGTACTAAAACATTTTTCACAATGAAAACATTTAAACGGTCTTTCTCCAGTGTGAGTTCTCAAGGTGTGATTCTTTAAATAACTAATCTCACCAAAACATTTCTCACAGTGTTCACATTTAAAAGGCCTTTCCCCAGAATGAATTCTCTTATGTTTTGTCAAACCACTAGATTCACCAAAACATTTTTCACAGTGTTCACATTTATAAGGTTTTTCTCCAGTGTGAGTTCGCATGTGTTTCTTTAAACTACTGGATGCACTGAAATATTTATCACAATGCTCACACTTAAAAGGTCTTTCTCCAGTGTGTTCATATTTATGAGGTCTGTCTTCTGTGTGAATTCTCATGTGTCTCTTTAAATTACCAAACTGAAAGAAACATTTTTCACAATATTCACATTTAAAAGGTTTTTCACCTGTATGGATTCCCATGTGTATTCGTAAAGTACTTGATTGAACAAAACTCTTTTCACAATATTCACATTTAAACAATCTTTCCCCTGTGTGGGTTGCCATATGTATCTTTAAATTACTAGATGAACCATAACATTTTTCACAATGTTCACATTTATAAGGTCTTTCTCCAGTGTGAGTTCTCATGTGTTTCTTGAAATTACTAGATGCACCAAAACATTTTTCACAATGTTCACATTGAAAAGGTCTTTCACCTGTATGAATTCTCATGTGTATCCTTAAATTACTAGATTGACAAAAACTCTTTTCACAATATTCACATTTAAAACTTCTTTCCCCTGTGTGGGTTCTGATGTGTTTCTTTAAAGTACCAGATGAACTATAACATTTTTCACAATGTTCACATTTAAAAGGTCTTTCACCTGTATGAATTCTCATGTGTATCCTTAAATTACTAGATTGACTAAAACTCTTTTCACAATATTCACATTTTAAACTTCTTTCACCTGTGTGGGTTCTGATGTGTTTCTGTAAAGTACTAGACTCGCCAAAACATTTTTCACAATGTTCACATTTAAAAGGTTCCTCTCCTGTGTGAATTATCATGTGTGCTTTTAGATGACTTAAACACTTAAAGCACTTATCACAATGTAGACACTTGAAGGAATTTGAATTTCCTAATTCATTGTTAGAATGTTCCAAATCTTCTTGTTTAAGAAATGACTTTGGAGCTGTCATATCATTGTCAATTTCTATAGTTAATTGTTCAGACTTGATGGCAAATACAGAATCTCTGAATTGATCAACTTCACCCAAAGTTTCTTCTTTGACATTTGAGTGATTGACCAAATTCATATCATCTATGGTTCCTTTAGTGGTGCTGCACTCAAAGTTACTTGTGGCACTTTGTGAAGAAATGTGGTCATGGTCCAGGTTAAGATCACCACACCCTTGTTGATCATGGCAAGGATGTTCTTGAGTTGATTCTACTTTTATTTCAATAGGCTCCTGGTTGACCATTTGTACATCTAGAGTTGACATGCTGGCCCCAAAATGTCCAGCTCTTGGTTGATCATGGGATGCATGTTTTTGTGTTTCTTCTATTGTTATTTCAACTGGTTCTTGCTTGACTGTTTGTACAGTTGTCATATTGGCACCATAATGTTCTCCAAGACATTCAGTTTTTATACCGTGCTTTTCTTGTTTTACAAAGTTCATCTTGTTATATGATTCTGATAGCTTGCTGTCATAGGAAACAGAAACATCTGAAAGTACATAAAATGAAAATGTAAGAATTGCTAAGGAAATAATTGTAGGATCTTGAATCCCAATTTATACAATATACAATTTATAATTTATAGGTAGGGTCTAGAGGTTCTTGAACAAGTACCTGTCTATCTTTGACGAACAAGTTACGATAAGTCGAATAAACATCATTATGCAATACATGTATACTGATCCAATAATAACTAGACAACAGCAACACCAACGCCCATCGAACAGCCATGTCTGGCATTTTTACAAACAAAGTATAAAGCAAAAATGGTAGCAATTTTTCAAAATGGCCACCTTCTACCAAAAGTGTCATTAGACAGTGTACCATGCTAATAGTAAATTCTAGTAAAATACTAGTTATTCGAGTTTTAGTAAAATAGGATAAAATGGTGGCCTATTTTGAAGAATGGCCGCCTTCTACCGTATGTGCGTACGGACTGACAGATCTCATTTATCAGCACGTATTATACAGGGTGATCCAGAAGTAACGTCAAAGACATTGTAATTTCAAAAGTATTCATCAGATCTTCATGAAATTTGGTATACATGTACCCACAACATTTCTGAGTTACCATCTCAAAGATTGGAATTCAATCATTTCATTGGTTGAAATTATGGTTGCTATAGTAACCCGATATCGCGTAACCCGGGGCAAATTGAAGAGAAACCATAACGTTTTTGTGAATTTCTCTAATTTAAAAAGTCAGTAACATTTGAAAATGTTCATTGTTTGTTTTCTATGATTTTTATATTTGTTGCCATGGTAACAAATATGTAATAGTTGTGATGTCACAATAGGCATTCATAAGAAGCTTTCAATTTCTTTGAATTGCTTCCATCATCCATGACAAATACTAACATGACCAAGGACACTAACCCACCCAATTCAAGATGGCGCCAAGTCAGAGTAAAATAGAGCAAAGAACAAACATTAAGTTCTGTGTAAAGTTGGGGAAAGGTGTAAAAGAGACTATAAGACAGATAAAGAAGGCATATGGTAAAGCTGCCATTGCTGAGAGAAACATTTACAGGTGGTTTAACAAGTATTCCAGTGGATATGATGAAGTGGTAGACAAGCAGCGAGGAGGCAGGCCAGTGTCGTCATTCGATGATCAAACCATCAAAGCAATTGAAGCTGATGTTATGGACAATAGGCAAATTTCTATCAGAGAATTGGCTGAAAAACACGATCTGAGCTATGGGACTGTGCAACGGATACTGACAAAGAACTGTCTGTTAAAGAAGGTGTCTGCTAAATGGGTGCCGCATGACTTGACACAGGAGCAGAAAGACCGGCGTGTTAAGGCTTCAAGGGACTTTCTTGCAAAATATCAGAGAGATGGAGATGACTTTCTTAACAAGATCATTACGAGTGACGAATCATTGCTATCATTCTACATCCCAGAGACCACGCAACAAAGTTCATCGTGGAAACATGACAACTCCCCAACACCAACCAAGCCTAAAATAGTACCAGGAATTCCACAAAAGAAACAAATGGTTGTGACATTCTTTGACATTAGAGGAATGGTGTTAACCCATTTTGTTCCCATTGGCCAGAGAATTAATGCCGTTTACATTGCAAAGGTAAGATATCATTTGTTCTAATAATACATCATACTGTGAATTTTATTTTTAAATTAAAGTATTTAAATGTTGTTCACTGTCAATATAATTATAACTCCATGGCCATGATTCAAATCCAAATCCAATCAATGAAACAACTGGTTTAACAACCATTAAACATTTGTTTTTCAGGTTCTGAAGCGTGATCTTCAACGTTCCCTGAGGAAAAAGCGTCCCGGACATCTGCAGCAGTTTATCTTGCATTGGGACAATGCCCCTACGCACACTGCAATCCTGACCAGCAACACAGTCCAAACACTTGGATTTCAACAACTTGAACATGCCCCTTATTCACCTGATCTTGCCCCCAGTGACTTTTATTTGTATGGGGAACTAAAAAGAAACCTTAGTGGAAATAATTTTCAATCCTGTGAGGAATTGAAAAATGCCGTAGTACTAGCCCTACAAGGAATGAGTTCTAATGGATTTAATTCTGTGTTCAAGGAATGGGTATCCAGACATGAGAAATGTGTTGCAAATGGTGGCAATTATGTAGAATGAACTATTATTAGTAACTGTGCAATAGTATGATTTATATTGTTGTGAAATAAAATGTTGAGGATATAACAATTTCAGAGATTACGCATTACACGTTAAGTAATTTGCCCCGGGTTACGCGATATCGGGTTACTATAGCAACCATAATTTCAACCAATGAAATGATTGAATTCCAATCTTTGAGATGGTAACTCAGAAATGTTGTGGGTACATGTATACCAAATTTCATGAAGATCTGATGAATACTTTTGAAATTACAACATCTTTGACGTTACTTCTGGATCACCCTGTACATTGAAAAACCAGTGTGTTTTTCCAGAGTAAATCCACCCTTTTTTGCATTGAACCTTCTTTGGCCCAGTCTACGATGTCCGGAGTAGATAACAGGGCCAAACTGCTTTGGTAAATGTACATGGTACTCACGTACATTGATACATAAAAGTTTTAATTCATTTATATTTCTGCAAACTATAATTCTAATCGCATTCAAGAACGTGAACATTGTCACCATCATATCAGGCTTTAACATTACGACTAAAAACACTTAATAACATGGTGACGGTTTACCTTCTTCTAAGGCCACTGTATCGTGGCCTTCCAGTAGAGATATATTCCTGCTTAAACAAATGGTCATGTTTTAATCATAAAAATTGAAATCATATGTCCGCCATTTTTCCACATCACAATTTGAATTGCAAGTTTTTGTCTTATTACCTCACCAAAAATTCCAAAACTCACATAAAGTGATCAGTGTATTAGTTCACATCTTCTGGATCGCTAACTTAGAATTTACAGCCATTACTAATGTCAGACGTTAACGACATTTCGTCCAGTTTTCGAACATCGCCATTTTTCTTGGAGCCATTTTGTTTTAATTTTAGACGAAATCCGAGTCGGGGCAATCTGCGCGAGATTCGGTTTTTACTTGGTTCGGTTTTTCATTAAAGGAAGTACTTCATTCCCATGATTCAAAGTGCTTTTCTGCCATCAGTTCGGTTTAAGTTTGTACAACATGCGTCTACAAATCCGGGGCAGGTTGATATTATGTCATTACATTTGTTTTGGGTGCATACTTTTTTGTTTTGACAATAAAGAAAAATATTCAAGCACTATATGGTGCATCATGGGTAGGGACTTAGACTATATCCTATTTAGTCTGAATTATATTCAGACTATAAGGCACCTATGTTAAAGTTTGGTAATTTGTTTACATAGGAAGTGCTATTCAAAATGGCCGATTGGGTAAAATTAATTTGCACATTTGTTTCTTCAACTAGCTTTATTTCCACTTGAAAATATGCTGTGTTACTTTTTATTGCATTTAATTGTACCTTACTATTTAATTGAAATTTTGTAATGTTTATTTTATTGAAGAAATGGTTCCTCTAATTGATAATTTTGTGCAAAAAATTTCACTGCAATTTCCACAGGAAAGTAGTACATCATAACAGACTGACTTCTAGTCAGTCTGTTGGATACATACTAGGTAGGGACTGCTGTGAAAATATGAACATAAGTGACATCTATCTCAAATTAAATGTTCTTATAAGTTATTAATTACGCATGCGTACTAATAATTTGAACCAATTAAATTGCTGGATTTATTGCGCATGCGCTAAAAACCGAACCAAAAAATGGAATCTCGCGCAGATTGCCTCTAGTGCGAAATCCTGATGAAATCATGTCATATCTCATTAAGGGGCCGAGCGGGATGCGTTTTGATTATAGAGTTCACAGTATTCCAGATGAAATCCCATCTAGCCAAGTATTGGCTAGAGGTTCGAGTAAGTGACGGTTGTCCCAGGCAACAGATAGGGTCTCATTTCGAATAGAAAAACCACAGGCCCAGGAAGATTTAAATCCCCCTACACTCACTGTACACAGTAAAAAAATAATACATAGTGAGTGGGAGGTGGATGAACTCTTGTTCCCGTGTCTGTGAGAAAAACACAACATTTCCCTACACAAACAACAGGTCATCAAATCACGGGCCAAAATCAGGGATAAATGAAACATCCCTCCCAATACCAATAAGCAGCCAACTTTACCCACTTTGAAGCCATTATGAAGGCTGGTAATAGTGCTATCTGTTAAGTAACTTACCATTGTAGTATGTCCGTTTTGAAGAAAACTGTAAGCGAAAATGTCTTCATTAATTTTTAATCCTTATTTTTAATCTGCATTTCCGGTGAGTAGTTGCACTAAAATTTCGAACGACACTAAATTACTTTTCTGTAAGCATTGTTCGGCTTTTTCTGACATACTGTATGCATGCTCAGCGGCGTAAACGGGGCGCATACACGTAGTGTCTTCTTCTCCTTCTTCATCTTCTTCTTGCATTGAAACCTATAATGATCTTGGCATCATAACTTTGTATTTTGATTTTGTTTTTCATGTTTGTCCTAAAAGTGTCTCAAGCGGGGAAAGAAGCTTATAGCCAATGAGAGTTAAGTTAGTGGGAGAAAACTCATGAATTGCTCGAGTTGGGAAATGAATTTGGAAAACCAATTGCAAAAACATTTTTCACAATGTTCTCATTTAAATGGTATTTTTCCTGTGTGAGTTCTTATGTGTTTCTTGAAAATACAGTTTAAGTGGTATTTAATCCGAGTGATTAATTTGCCGAATGGTCAATGGTTATAAATTTCCTAATAATGATAAGGAAAATTTCCACTTATACAGTACCTTTTACCGCTAAAACATTTTTTTACAATATATTCACATTTAAAAGGTTTTTCTTCAGCGTGGTTGATATTATTAAATGTATCGTCTAATATTAAATCTTTTACATAGACAATACCACTTTCGATCCAATTTTTTGTTTACAGTAAACAAACTATTACCCCATGATGTAGTCTCTTGCAAGATATCACAAATCAAAGCTATTTATTTTCAATTATAAGCAATTGAGATTCGAAGTCAATCATATTAACCCCACCTTTTTCTAATGAATTTAATAATAGTTCGCTCTATTTCATCTTTTCCATCCCAAAAGAATTTATAAATTATTGTATAAACTCTTTTCACAATATCATTATCATATTCAGATATTGAAGCATTGATGCTGCATAAATTAATTTTGAAGGGCAATTGATTTTATCACTGTTAGGCCTATTTGTCAAATTATGTTAAATTCCTCCTTTTCTAAGAATCTGATACTTTCTCTAATTTAGTTATTCTGTTCAGCCAATTTAGCTCATAAAATTTGTCTTTATCATGTTCAATGAAAATGCCAAGAGTTTTTACAGGTGCATTCCTAAATTTTATATTTGTAAAGTTATTTTCATTAACTTTACTTTTCCTTCGGTTTTGTCTATATTTAGTTCTAATCCAGAAACATAAGAGAATGATTGAAGCGTTTAATTGCTTGCAGTATTGAATCCTTGTCTTTTAAAAATAAATTAGCTTTATACGCATATCATTGCACAGAATTGGTCGAATAGCCGATAGATGTCATTCATAGATTAAACATGACGTCATATTTGAGATCTTAAGATAAATCTGACGTCATGACGTCAGTGCCATAGAAACTGAGATTGTCTTATTTTATTTTGACGTCATTCCAATGTAATGAACCAGTTATATCACCAAAAGTTATCATATTTTGTTTGAAATTGGCCGAAAAGTTAAAGGTATGAGGATTCTAATCTCAACGGAATCAAACAGATCTACCTTCAAAGTTACAGAAACCTGAGATGACTAAGATACCATATGATTTTAAGTACCTCTACCAGATCGTTGAATATCCTCATTTCACCATTTTGACGCCATTTCTAATGGATTTCAATGGAGTCATGCATGAATTCCTCATGATTTTTTCAAAACAAATTGGCCGAAAAGTGTGCATGTGTACATTGCTTAAAACATGTTAAATCAGTAAAGGTTGATGTCTAGTTATAGAAACCTGAGATGACTAAGGTGGCAAATCAATATCATTCGCACAGTAAGCGTTCGAAAAATGTCTCCATTATGAATCCCATAGGCTTTGGAAAACCGGAAGTAATGGGTCTGCGCATGCGCAGTGAAATATTGGACAAATTTTGTGCAATGTGAGAGTTTATATTCATTATTGTTTATATCAATGCCTTTTATGATAATATTCTGTTGTATTCTAAGTGCAAGGACCTGCACATAATAAATGCCAAAGCAGATACTGGGCAACCTTGCCGACGGGATTTTTGCATGTGTATATTTTTAGAAAACCATCCATTTTGTTTTGCAGTTACCATTGGTTTAACATAAATTATTTTTATCCATTTTTCAATGATGAAATTCCACTCGATATATACTATCAAAAAAAAATCAAATCAATAAATACATTTTCAGCATATTCATAAATATCAAATGTAAGTAGGCAGATATTACCAATAAAACGATTATTTATATAACTGTATAAGCAGTCTGCTGAGGCCCAATTATTTTTGCAATTACATTTTGCATTTGTGTTGCCAAAATAAAAGCCGGTACCTTGTAGTCTGTTTTAGAGAGTGAGATAGGTCTAAAGTTTTTCAAAAGTTCCCTATTTCCTTTAAAAAAGTATTTATAAGGTCTTTCTAAAGTGTGAGTTCTGTAATGTGTATCTTTAGACTACTACAGGGTGATCATTAAGTTCTGGGAATTGGTCTGCCATTTCAAGATTTCTCAACCATTTGAGTTGAAATTTTCAGCGGGTGTACATTGTATAATTCTGAATTGGCAAGCAATGTTTCATATACATATCACATCTACACTTTATTTTATTGTAATTACAAAAAAAGTAAAAGTGGTTCGCGGGTCAGCAAATTTTGACTGATGTTAATTTGAAAATTTCCTGCCAAAACATATTCATCTTGCCTAGATGGTTGCTTCAAACTACTTGTACTAGAGGCAGAACAGTACTCTTGAAGTCATTTATTCAGAAGTATTCTTCATTGCTGAGAGGATCATTTCATTTATGATTGTTTCCATTAGCCTGGACGCACATGCGTTGTTGACAAACTTAGTCCATAAAGATGTGTTCCAGTTCTCCCTTTGGTATCCCTTGAAGATTGAAATCAGTCCCTTATTGGAATCAAACTTATGACCTCTCATATGCTTTAGCACCCAAAATGTAGTGAAGCCTAATGGTGCTTCATCTGGTGAATATTGTCTGGTGAATATGGGGCAGTAATAACTTGTGTGAACCCTAATTCTTCAAGAGTTGTATGGGCAGCTAGAGTAATGGGAAGGAGCATAGTCATAATGGAAGATAACTCCCCGCTATTTTTAGTCATGATTGTTACTTTGAGATGCTGATGAATGATACGAAAATAGACCAAGTGCACTCTTATATAACAATACAGATGTTACTTTAGAAACTAAAGTTAGAAGTATTTGAAAATATAAAAAATCACAGAAATATGTCCACCAAATAGGTATTTATTAACCATACTTTTGGATCAAGCAAAATTTGAATTCATTTTTATTTTACTTGACCCGCTACACCATTTATCATGTTGCTATAGTAACAATAATTATCCATTGTGACATCAGATGACATTGAGACTGTTTTATTCAACCCAAAATTACATTCCCCATTGACCTTGAAAATTTTAAGTAAATTGGTTGAAAAATAATGAAATGACAGATAAATTCCCAGAACTTAGTGATCACCCTGTAGATGTACTAAAACATTTTTCACAATGTTCACATTTAAAAGGTCTTTCTCCAGTGTGAGTTCTCATGTGTCTCTTTAAAGAACCAGCGTCACTAAAACATTTTTCACAACGTTCACATTTAAAAGGTCTTTCTCCATTGTCACTTCTCGGGTGCTTCTTTAAAGAACCAGCTGCAGCGTCACTAAAACATTTTTCACAATGTTCACATTTTAAAGGTCTTTCTCCATTGTGAGTTCTTAGGTGTTTCCTTTAAGAACCAGCTTTACTAAAACATTTTTCACAATGTTCACATTTTAAAGGTCTTTCTCCTGTTCTCATGTGTATCTTTAAACTACCAGATTCAATGAAACTTTTTTCACAGTGTTCACATTTAAAAGGTCTTTCACCTGGTGAGTTATTACGTGTCCCTTTAAATCACAAGATGAACCAAAACATTTCTCACAATGTTCACATTGAAAACGTCTCTCCCCATTGTGAGTTCTCACGCCGTTTCTTTAAATTACTAAATGAACTGAAACATGTAAGAGGTCCTTCTCTTTTGTGAGTTTTCATGTGTATCTTTAGATTACTATATACTAAAACATGTTTCACAATGTTCATATTTAAAAGGTCTCTCCCCAGTGTGAGTTCTCAGGTGTTTCTTTAGATCACTAGATTTACTAAAACATTTTTCACAATGTTCACATTTATAAGGTCTCTCCCCAGTGTGAGTTCTCAGGTGTTTCTTTAGATCACTAGATGTACTAAAACATTTTTCACAATGTTCACATTTAAAAGGTCTTTCTCCAGTGTGAGTTCTCATGTGTCTCTTTAAAGAACCAGCGTCACTAAAACATTTTTCACAACGTTCACATTTAAAAGGTCTTTCTCCATTGTTGCTTCTCGGGTGTTTCTTTAAAGAACCAGCTGCAGCGTCACTAAAACATTTTTCACAATGTTCACATTTTAAAGGTCTTTCTCCATTGTGAGTTCTTAGATGTTTCCTTTAAGAACCAGCTTTACTAAAACATTTTTCACAATGTTCACATTTAAAAGGTCTTTCTCCTGTTCTCATGTGTATCTTTAAACTACCAGATTCAATGAAACTTTTTTCACAGTGTTCACATTTAAAAGGTCTTTCACCTGGTGAGTTAATACGTGTCCCTTTAAATCACAAGATGAACCAAAACATTTCTCACAATGTTCACATTGAAAACGTCTCTCCCCATTGTGAGTTCTCACGCCGTTTCTTTAAATTACTAAATGAACTGAAACATGTAAGAGGTCCTTCTCTTTTGTGAGTTTTCATGTGTATCTTTAGATTACTATATACTAAAACATGTTTCACAATGTTCATATTTAAAAGGTCTCTCCCCAGTGTGAGTTCTCAGGTGTTTCTTTAGATCACTAGATTTACTAAAACATTTTTCACAATGTTCACATTTATAAGGGTTTTCTCCAGTGTGAGTTCTCATGTGTTTCTTTAAAGAACCAACGTCACTAAAACATTTCTCAAAATGTTCACATTGAAAACGTCTTTCTCCATTGTGAGTTCTCACGTGTTTTTTTTAAAGAACCAACGTCACTAAAACATTTTCAAAATGTTCACATTGAAAACGTCTTTCTCCATTGTGAGTTCTCACGTGTTTCTTTAAAGAACCAGCGTCACTAAAACATTTCTCACAATGTTCACATTGAAAACGTCTTTCTCCATTGTGAGTTCTCACGTGTTTCTTTAAAGAACCAGCGTCACTAAAACATTTCTCACAATGTTCACATTGAAAACGTCTTTCTCCATTGTGAGTTCTCACGTGTTTCTCTAAAGAACCAGCGTCACTAAAACATTTCTCACAATGTTCACATTGAAAACGTCTTTCTCCATTGTGAGTTCTCACGTGTTTCTTTAAAGAACCAACGTCACTGAAACATTTCTCACAATGTTCACATTGAAAACGTCTTTCTCAATAACGCAGATGCGAGTAGGTAGTTACCAATTTCACCACCAGGTGGCTCGTTCGGGTCAGATAGCATGGCGGGTATGGTAGAAAGTTCCCTTTAACTTAAATTACATCTGTTTTGGTGGTTCAATTTTCATATAACCCTCATATATCTTATAGTTATGCTAATTAAAAAGTGTCCAGTGAAGGAAAATGATATTTGTCGATTACAAGAAAAGATATTTCACTTTTTGTGACTTTGTAACATGGGGTGTATGGGGATTCAACCCGAACTAGAAATCACATTTTCAAAATAAATTAAATTTTCAAAGTTGATAAACAATTTTCGAAACCATATTTCTAGATGTACTTTTACATGTAGATTTCAAATATGACATCACTTTGACTGAATTTTGAATATTTAATGACGTAAATCAAGGTTATTTCTACTCGCATCTAGTTTATTGTGAGTTCTCACGTGTTTCTTTAAAGAACCAGCGTCACTAAAACATTTTTCACAACGTTCACATTTTAAAGGTCTTTCTCCATTGTGAGTTCTCGGGTGTTTCTTTAAAGAACCAGCGTCACTAAAACATTTCTCACAATGTTCACATTTTAAAGGTCTTTCTCCATTCCGAGTTCACAGGTGTTTCCTTTAAGAACCAGCTTCACTAAAACATTTTTTACAATGTTCACATTTAAAAGGTATTTTTCCAATGTGAGTTTTCATGTGTTTCTTTCGATTTCTAGATTTAGTAGAACATTTTTCACATAGTTTACATTTATAAGGTCTCTCTCTATTGTGAGTTTTCATGTCACCTTTAGACAAATAGATCTACTAAAACATTTCTCACAATATTCACATTGAAAACGTCTTTCTCCATTGTGAGTTCTCACGTGTTTCTTTAAGTTACTAAATGAACTGAAACATGTAAGAGGTCCTTCTCCATTGTGAGTTGTCAAGTCTTTCTTTAAATTACTAAATGAACTGAAACATGTAAGAGGTCCTTCTCCATTGTGAGTTTTCATGTGTATCTTTAGATTACTAGATCTACTAAAACATTTCTCACAATGTTCACATTTCAAAGGTCTTTCTCCAGTATGAGTTCTCGGGTGTTTCTTTAAGGAACCAGCTTTACAACATTTTCACAATGTTCACATTTAATGCTTTCTCCTGTGTGAGTTCTTACGTGTCTCCTTGAGTTACTAGATGAACCAAAGGATTTTTACAATGTTTCACATGTAATAGGTCTTTCTCCAGTAGTGTGAGTTTTCATTTGTATCTTTAGATTAATAGATTTCCTAAAACATTCTTTACAATGTTCACATTTAAAAAGTTTTTCTCCTGTGTGAGTTCTCAGGTGTTCATTTAAAGTACCAGCTTCACTAAAACATTTTTCACAAAGTTCACATTTAAAAAGTTTTTCTCCTATGTGAGTTCTTACGTGTCTCCCAAAATTACTAGATGAACCAAAGCATTTTTGATAATGTTCACATTTGTAAGGTCCTTCTTCTGTGTGATTACCATATGTGCTTTTAAACGACCGAAATACTTAATTGCACTTACCACAAACGTTGACACTTGAATGAATTTCCAAATTCATTATCAGCTTGTTCCAAATCTTCTTGTTTAATAATTGACTGTGTTGCTATCATATCATTGTCAATTTCTATAGTTAATTGTTCAGACTTAATGGCAAATACAGAATCTCTGAATTGATCAACTTCACCCAAAGTTTCTTCTTTGACATTTGAGTGATTGACCAAATTCATATCATCTATGGTTCCTTTAGTGGTGCTGCACTCAAAGTTACTTGTGGCACTTTGTGTGAAATGTGGTCATGGTCCAGGTTAAGATCGCCATACCCTGGTTGATCATGGTATGCATGCTCTTGTTTTGATTCAACTGGCTCTTGCTTAATCATTTGTACATCTAGATTTGACATGTTGGCCCAAAATTGTTCTCCGACCAAGACTCAGTTTTAACAAAGTAGTTCTACTTTTATTAAGGAATAAAGAAAGAGATTTTATTATTTATGGCGTACTATATGATCGAAAATGTTATACTGTTCATTGTTAAAAGACCGAAATCGCGGTCTTTGGCAATGGCCAGAATAAAAATTTGAGGTCATATATTTGACATAAATCATAAAATCGAGGTCTTTGTTACGATTCTAATATGATAAATAGACAAGAAACATAACTATTTGCAATCATAAGTGGTCATACATACTCCAATATAGACCAGTAAATCAATTGTTCTAGCTATTGTGACGCTATATATCTAATTATTAGAATGTCCATTATATTTTGGATGGATCCTCTAACTGTCTACATACCTAAATCTTGAACTACCATTAAACATCACTTCCTAAATAATACCAGCATAAAATGGGACATCACTTTTTATGCCAGCATTAAATGGGACATCACTTTTTATGCCAGCATAAAATGGAATATCAAGTGATATCAATCCATTTTTTTGTTACAATCCATTTTTATATAATCCGCTGTTAACAGTCAATAGATCGTTTGCATTTGTACATATCAATTTATCATATTCATAAGTATTTAAACATTATAGCATGCAATCATACAACAATTAATTGATTATTTACATTTGTACATATCAATGTGTTACATTCAGATAAGTTTGTTTGATTATCGTTATTATTATTATATGCACTATTTAAGAGGAACTGTTCCATTGTAACATCTTGGCAATTTTGAAGTACATCCGTTGTTCTTCCACAATACCGTGTGATTGGCCATATCAATTTTCAACTTTTCAGTGCAAGACATTTTGTTTCTTTTTCAGTAAAAAGTAAAAGGAGTGCACGTAAACATTGGATTTTTAGACACAATAAACTATAGGTTTATGCTCAATATGAACATTTTAAAAGCATTGCAATCTAGGATCAATGTGAACAGTCTCTTTGATTCTGTCAATTAAAGGCCATTTACCAATAATTTCCATTTATCTATGTTCATAATTCTATTTGGATTTGTTTAAGTAGGGATTTGACAGGTGAGCAATTTCACATTCAATATTTTTCTAGTCAGAGTGGTATACTCTTCTATTTTGTTAAGTGAAATAGAAGACTAGAAACAGAACAACCACAGAACAACCAAAATTTTCAAAAAGTCTCTCTGTTAAATAACCAGATTGAGCAGAACAATTTTCACAATGCGTGAGTTCTCATGTGCTTTTTTAAATTTCTAGACTCACCAAAACTTTTTTCACAATGTTTACATTCAAAAGGTTCTTTTCCTGGGTGAGTTCTCATATGTGACTTTAAATGACTAGATGTACTAAAATATTTTTCACAATGTTCACATTTAAAAGGTTTTTCTCCTGTGTGAGTTATCATGTGTGTTTTTAAAGTACAAGCTTGACGAAAAGATTTTTCACAATGGTCACATTTAAAAGGTTTTTCTCCAGTGTGAGTTACCATATGTGTTTTTAAATTACCTAACTGACTGAAACATTTTTCACAATATTCACATTTAAATGGTCTTTCTCCTGTGTGAGTTCTCATATGTGTCTTTAATTCACTGGAGGTATAACAACATTTTTCACAATGTTCGCATTTAAAAGGTTTTTCTCCAGTGTGAGTCATCATGTGATTCTTTAAATAACGAGGTTGACCAAAACACTTTTCACATTGTTCACATTTAAATGGTCTTTCTCCTGAGTGAGTTCTCATATGTAACTTTAAATCATTAGATGTAAAAAAACATTTTTCGCAATGTTCACATTTAAAAGGTCTTTCTCCAGTGTGAGTCATCACATGTCTTCTTAACTGATTAGGTGTATAAAAACATTTTTCACAATGTACACATTTAAAAGGTCTCTCTCCAGTGTGGGTCATCATGTGTCTTTTGAAATAAGAACATTTAAAGAAACCATTACAATGCTGACACTTGAATGATTTTTCTCCAGTGTGAATTTTCATGTGTCTTTTCAACTTTCGAGTTGATGTATAGCCTTTTTCACAATGTTGACACTTGAATGATTTTTCTCCAGTGTGAGTTTGCAAGTGAATTATCAACTCATGTGAGTTAGAGTAGCACGCATTACAATGTTTACACTCCCATAATATTTTGCTCAAATTTTTGTCATTTTCGACATGTTGCTTATCACTCTTTCCAGGGAATCCTGAATTTCCCAATGCATTGTTAGCATGTTCCAAACATTTTTGCATAAGAAGTGACCTTGTTGCTATCACATCATTGTCAATTTGTAAACTTGACTGTCCAGTAATAAAAAAAACAGAATTTCTAAATTCATTGTTAGCGTGTTCCAAATCTCCTTGTTTCTCCTTTGCTGCTATCGTATCATCATCGATTTCCAAACTTGATTGTTCAGACTTGTCAGATTTAATGGCAAATCCAGAATTTCTAGACTGAGTGTCAACTTGACCCAGATTTTCTTTTTTGACATTTGAGTGATTCACCATATTGATATTATCAATGCCTTCTTTTGTGGTGCTGCACTCAAAGTTACTTGTGGCACTTTGTGTAGAAATGTGGTTGTGGTCCAGGTTAAGATCGCCATACCCTGGTTGATCATAAAATTGTTCTTGCATTGCTTCTTCTTTAATTTCAACATGACGCATCTCGTCCAGGTTATGATCTGAAGCTCCTGGTTGATCATACCATTGAGGTTCTTGTGTTGCTTCTATTTCAACTGGCTCCTGCTTGACCATTTGTGCATCTAGAGTTGACATATTGACCTCATAATGTCCAGTTCCTGGTTGAACATGCCATTCATGTTCTTGTGTTGCTTCTAATTCATTTGGCTCCTGCTCGACTGTTTGTAGATCTAGAGCTGACATGTTGGCATCATAAGGTGCAGCTCCTGGTTGATCATAGCATGCACATTCTTGTGTTGCTTCGACTTTTACGTCAACAGGCTCTTGCTTGACCATTTGTACATCTAGAGTTGACATGTTGACCACCTAATGTTCTTCAAGATGTTCAAACTTAATACATAGGTGTTGTTACATCTGGAAATACATAAAAGTGAAAATATAAGAATGTGATCAGGAAATCATGTTGACTGGTTAAGGTCTTGATCACAATTCAAATGGAAAGATTCTCGCATTGGATCCTGTCTCATTCTTGATGAGCTTTGTCCAAACTGTTAATTCTATTTGTTAGCATTTTTAAATTCTTTGTTTAATTTTTTATCAAAACAACTTTGATCAGCACAGATATTGAACAAATATATCACTCTATTGAGGTGAATACCTGTACATCTTTCACAAGTGATATTCCACGAAGCCCGAAGGGCAAGTGGAATATCACCTTGTGAAAGTGCTACAGGTATTCACTGAAAATAGAGTGAAATATTTGTTTTATTATATCACTGTCTAGCTAAACATCCCTAATATTATTAAGTCATTAAGTCTTAAGATATTTTTACGAATCTACTCGGTTCGTCTGCCATTTTGACTTAAACTGAACTAAATTATTTACACTGAACGAAAACCAATTCTTTGAAAATTCCCGGGAGCGTGGGATATCGCTAGATATCTCACGGTTGTCTTTTCTGATTAGCATTGCCATTGAATATCGCCAGATATCCCACGACATGTGACCCGGTTTTGACCAATCATACTGTCGCTAGCTAGCTAGTGATATAATAATTACCTTTATTCAATATTCAAATATTTAAGGTTTTTATGTTTATTGTGGTAAGTGCTCAGATGAAACCAAGTACAACAGAAGTGTCTGATGTGTTTTCTAAAATAATATTTATCTCAAGTTCAACTGTTACCATTGATCACCGTCTTCATTTTTATTGAAGGGTGTGAGTTCACAATCAGGGCTTATTCATGAAATTACGATGTTGGACTACATGTATAATCTATCAGAGATTATGTAGACAGATAACCTTAAGAAAAAACCCATGCTTTCCATGGCAATTACCAGTATTCCATGGTAAATACTGGTATTCCATGGAAAACCATGAAATTTTCCATGGTAATTACCGGTATTTCATGGAAAAAACAATGGAATTGTCCATGGTATTTACCATGAAATACTGGTTCTCCATGATTTTTGGTCATGCGTTATCTTGGTCAGGGGTCTGCATTATAACATCAACCATTTTAAATATATTTATATTAAAAACCTGGCATACAAAGTTGCTAAAATATATCAATTTTTTTTATATATTTCTGATCAAATATTCAATGAAAACTTGGAATACCAACTCCATGCCTACAAAGTGTAATCAAGTGCATGGCTTTTGCAATCAAACTCCATGCTTATCTGGTAAAATATACAGTGAAACCTGGTTTTCTGGTAATTTTTCCAGTGAAACCTGTATATCAGAACAACTGGCTAGACCATGCTCTCTTGAGAATTTAATCAAGTCCCATGGTTTGTACTTCTTTAAACTTAATGATAGTATCAGATCTAGTGAACAGCCTCTGAGCAAAAATTATATCAAGCTTCAGATGTAGCGAGCAAACCTAGACAAAAAAAATATTTTGGGCTAATATCATGTCCTTTTTCTGAAATTCCTAAAAATTGGGAACAGTAGTTCGTATTTCAGTTTACAGGTTTCACTGGACAAATTACCAGAAAACCAGGTTTCACTGTATATTTTACCAGACATGCATGGAGTTGAATCAACCCCAATCTTTCCACAAAATGCAATCAAACTCCATGCTTTTCTGGTAAAATATACAGTGAAACCTGGTTTTCTGGTAATTTGTCCAGTGAGACCTGTATACTGAAACCTGTACTACTGTTCCCAATTCTTTAGGATTTTTTAGTAAATAGACAATATCAGACAGTATTTTGTTTTCTTATTAGTATTGACTGAAATATCAGACAAGTTAATCTTTTAAAATAATAGGATACCTGATTTGAAAATATCATCAAAGAAAAATGTATTTGGTGAAAAGTTCATAGCTTCATGTAATAAATGATGTTATTTTAGGGACCAGATATTGCAATCAGACATGTGATTTTTTTCTAACTCTTCTCATGGATGGTTCCTTGTGTTAAAAGCATGATGGTGCTGTCTAATTCAGTAATAATTCTGTAACGAAACACATGATTCCAAATATTAGAGCATTAGCAGCAAAGTTCTTAATGTATAATTGGATTATAAGGCTGATTGTTTTGTTGACATTGGAATCTATTACCAGATTAACATAAGTGAGTATATATGTATTTTATCCACCTAATACTTAACTTTCAAATTTATACCTGAAGACATTCTTTATCTTTTTAATGGGTAAATTAATTATTCAAAATTCTTAATTCTTTTAATATTGCAAAATCATAATATAGTAACAACATATAATTTTCATGTGAAACCAAAGTTTTTATCTAAAGTTAGAATCAGTTCTATTAAGGGGATGACAAAATTCAATAAATTCAGTTATCAATTGAAGTTACTTACTTAAACAATGAAAAATGTGATGAATTCATTAAAAAAAAGATGAATATACAGTGTATGGGTGATTTCTAGAAATTTGATATGACAAGGAATGTTAAGAGCATATTCTAAAATTGAAATGACTTTTTTCAACTCAAACCATGAAACCTGATTCTATGAATATCTAAACTAGTAATGTTTTAGAAACTTTTAGTTTTTTATATAATTTAAGATAGTTTAAAACAGTAAATGGATTGATATTATAGAGTAGATCAATGATCAATATATGTCATGACAAAAAATCATGGAAAACCAGTATTTCATGGTAAATACCATGGAAAATTCCATGTTCCTTCTCAATGAAAAACGGGTAATTACCATGAAAAATTTCATGGTTTTCCATGGTTATTTCAATGGAATACCAGTATTTACCATGGAATACTGGCAAGTGGTAATTCCCATGGAAAGCATGTTTTTTTTCTTAATGTACATGTATCATTTAGAGCAATTTATTGGGCAAATTTTGGGAAAAATTCAAAAGATTCTGTTCAGTGACGTTTCCTAAGCTCCTACTTTTAGCTATTTTTCAGTCACATTTTCAGAGGGCTGAAAAAGTTATTTCATCATGTTTAGGGTCATTCTGACCATGTACATTGTGATCCTGGTCAAGTAAACGATATGTGCAACAGTTGAATGGAGGTCAAAACAGAACTCTGTTATCTTGGTTCAAAAAATGTTTGAAATCAAGCATGGTTTTGTCACTTCCTATTTTGTCATTTTCTAATAAGTACCACTGCACCTTAAACTGACAACAAGTACAAGTCATCATGGTTTGTCACTTCCTGATTTGTCATTTCCTGTATTGAGACCTTACATGCCCCCCCCCCCCTGTAATAGATCTGTATAATAGGAGAAGGTAAATTCTGACCATTCCCATTGTAATCCTGATCATGTAAATTATATTTGGAACAGACCTCTTTCATCTAGACTTCAAAAGTTAAAAACGATCTCCTGTTTTGTAAATTGTTTCTAGTTCCTGACTTCCTGTTAGGCAGATTTGCATGATGAGTTTTTGCAATTTTGGAAAGAAAGACCACTCAATTTCTAGTTATTTATACATTCTAGAGAAAAATTAACACTAAATTATTAATATGGGTACACTAAAGCATATTTGAAGGATTTAGACCATGTTTGGAACGAGTTATGTTCATCTGAAAAAAGTACATTTTTGACATGCCACATGCCAACAGACAATGTCAATCAGATAAGAATTGCAAGTTTGTCACTTCTGTAAAGGACCTCTACAAATACTAAGTTATATCATTATGAAATATATAGTATAAGTATAGCGCTGTCTGTATAGTTACTTACCACTTGTGCACTTCACTATTGTATATTTGATGATATCGTAAGTAAAATGCTGCTGCTGGTAAGAAATTTTTGAGGCGAGTGGAATACTTCCGGGAGTTGCGTTAAATTTTAGAACGACTTCAAATTTGTTTCCACAAACATCGTTCGTATTTTTTCTCTGTTATTGAAATACAAACCTAACTCATACATTTGAAAAAATAACACTATCATCGTTCACTGGTGGATCTGGGGTGGGGGTCGCCCCCCCCCCTTGGGTGGGCCTAAATATGTTGGGCCAAAAAAGGCCCCAGATGAAAAAGTCCCACTTTTTGGTCATTACTGGTCCTTTGAAGGCTTATTTTAGGGGCCCAACGTTTTTCTCAGGCCAGAAATATAGCCCCCCCCCCTCTTGTTGGTTCCCAGATCCGCCCCTGTAGTATGTTTCCAACAGACTGAGTTAGTATAGTCTGTCGTGTGGTAATTATAGTGAATTTTTTGCTCGGTGAATTTGTTGAAACTTTTCCAAAGGAGTGGTATCGATATGGTGAACTTTTTGAAGACGTGTTTCTCTCAAACCAGTCATCAAAACATTCTGAAAATTTTACACATCGCCAATTTAATGGTCGTCTTTTGGATTGCAACATTATAATTTGAAATATATATATCCTTTTTATTTTATTGTTTTAGAAAACACATCAGCTACTTCTTTTGTTCTTGGTATCATATGTTCAGAATGAAATGAAACATCTATCGGAACCTCATTGGAACAAAATGACATAAACACAATGTCTTCGGGTCTCTCAATATTGTTATTGTACAAAGGAATGTTTGGTTGATTTAAAAAAAGTTTCTTGTTAATAAAATAAAATGTTTATCTTAATTTTTATCTATTTTGGGGTTTTTGCATACTTTTTGTTAAATCAACCAAAATTTCCTTTGTATAATTGTAATATGGAGAGGTCTAAGAAAATGTTATGCTATTTTGTTCCAACAAAGTTTGGAAAGACATTTTATTTCATCCTCAAGAATTGGTAGAAAGGATCGGAACAAAAAACAATTGCACTAAAAAACAAAAAATGTTAACAAAAACAGTTATATAAAATAATTTAAAAATAGATATAAACAATTTTCGCATTAAATTGTCGCCAATCAGTCAACATTTTTTACAGAATGTTTCCAATAATTGGTTTAAGAGAAAAACATTTTTGAATTTAGTTCACCATATCTATACCTATCCTTTGCTTAATCTCTGCCAAATTTGCTTAAAGTCCCCATGTAAAGTTTGAAAATATGATTTTATCAGTTATTTTAGAGATTTTTGAAGACAAAAAATTGAAAAAAGTTGTCAGCTTTTCATTTCTCAAATATTTAAATTTCCCGCCATTTTTCAAAATTTTGAATCATCAAATATTCAACCATTCATTTCAAAAAAGATTATCTTTTTAACACCAGTGCAAATATTGAACAAAGGACAAACTATTTCAATAATAAAATGCCATATCTAATGTGCCACTTCAATGTATTAGCATATCAAAAATAATTTGCAACCCAAGTTATGTCATTATGACTTACTCAGCTGGCAAAAAAATTTTGAAAAAAGTAATTTTTTCTTTTACTATCTATTCTAGATATGCTGAACTTCAAAATTAAACCAATGTCGATTGTCTAACCGAGTTAAAAGGAAGAATATATTATGCTTTAGATATTATTGTACCATTGGTTATTATGAGAACTATAAAATTTTGAAATGCATTTTTCTTTGAACCATTTTCATGCATTGATGAGTTCATTTCTCGCTTATTTATGAACAGATTTTCTTTTTTCGGCAATAAAAATGTGAGGATGAATGCTATGCATTGGTATGAATTATCGCAATTATTTTAAGATATGTGTGGCCTCTAAAAGTTAGTTTTAAATAAATTCACGATTTTTCGAACAATTAAAAGGTCCTTCAAAAACCACTTTTTGAAATTAAAAAAAAAGTTTCACACTGTATCACACTTTGATTACTTTGGGTAAGACTACAATATGAGCCAAAGTGGTTTAAACTTTATATGGGGGCTTTTTTGCCAAATTCGCCTAATTTTGCTTAAAGTTTGCCGCTTAAATTTTGCCAAATTTGCTTGATTTTGGTCCAATTTATTAATTTTGCCAGTTTGCTAGAATTTGCCAAACAATTGTAAAGAAAGCAAGAATTTTTTAGGCAAGATTTTGGGGGCAGGGTTCGCATGAACACTCTGAATCCCCTCTCCCTACGGCACTGAGCATATTGTCAAGTGGAGATACAGCTAGTGGAACTTACAAATATGCAAATTAATGTAGCTATTTTGATTTACAATTTATACAAATGTGTCGAACACCAACATTTCACAAAGGACAGTTATAGCCTGAATATTTCCAACCAAATTAAAAAAATTCAGACTGGAGGATATATGAAGGTCGATTTTATCGATATTGTCCACCTGTCAAATCCCGATTTAACCCGGAGATATGCCGATTTTTGTTTTGCTTCATCCCGATTTTTTTCTTCAAATCCCGATTTTCAAAAACCCTGATTTTTAGAAAATATTCCAATTTCTTAGTAAAACATCCCAATTTTCAAAATATCCAGATTTTTATGTTCAAAACTCCCCATTTGTTAACAAGACATCCCGATTTTTCAGTAAATGATACCATGGGATTAAAAGCCCATGATGATGACTCTCCCGATTTTCGTTCAAAGAGCCGTCCAGAGATGCCCTCGAAAAAATGAATAGGTTTGTGATAAAACAAAAAAGTAACTATAACTACACATACAATATACACTTGTATGATCTTCTCTTAACTACAGTATTTAGAACAGAAATAAATCAAACGTTCGTTGGACTGAGAAATTCCGCACAATTATTGAAACGCATTGGAACGTGGTGAAAACAAATACAGTAGAACCTGTGTAATGCTGTGGTCACACTTGCCGTGTAGGCTCACCGTTCGCCACCGTGTGGCTAATTATGGCAAGACGGTGACGATTCAGCGACGGTCGCATTTCTTTTTGAATTTATGACCGGGTTTATGCCGTGCTATACCGGGTCTGCACCGGCTTTATACCGACCTAGTACCGGGCTAACGTGTTTAAAGAGTAGTGGCTTACCATTGTCACCGTGTTTTCAACGGGTTTATACCTTCCTTTCACCGGGTTTTCACCGGTCGGAACGCATTGGTACCGCCAAACCGCATTGAAAACGTCATGAAACCGCTCTCTATAAATCACTCATCTTTGGGACTAGTCTTTATGTGAACATAAGTTTGGACATCTGTCTACTCTTCAATTTATTGTGGGTATAACATTAAGGCAAAGTGACAAGGACTAGATAATATATCATGACAAAGTTTCATTTGTATTCATATTCAAGATCGTCATGATTAAAACAGCGACCGTTTCGTTTTTTACAAGTTAAATTTATTATACTGTAACATATTTCATGGATTTACCCCTCATTTAAATCATTTTTAAATGACGGTGTCTTTAACTAGGCAGAACTTCTGTTCTTGCACATTTTCATTTAGCAGTGCCCCGGGAGAATAGCAGAACGTTACAATACATTTCCAAGGACAGGCTGTCCTCGAAACTAAATGGAGGAACTCGTAAAGCCAGTTACGAGAACGGATCCGTTTTCGTAACACAATGGCGCAACCTTGAAGGTACGATCTATCTTTTTTAAGATTTCACGAGTTGTAGGCAAAATCTTCACGACCGTTTTGGTACAAACATGTGTCAGCATCATATGTTTATGAAAATCTAATAATTTGTGAACGAATAGTTCACGAGGCGCCAACATGATCAAAATTTTTCCTCAGTATAATTATGAATACGGAACTGTTAAAAGTGCAGATATTTAACCGTTTTCAACGTTCCGTTTTCATAACTTAAGTGGAGAAGTATATCGATGATTGTGTCGTCTTATGATTATTCGATCGCAAACGTTACGATTTTCTGAAACATATGTTGCTGCCACACAGTTTTGCCAAAAATGTCGTGGACATTCTACTTACATCTTGAGAATTCATGGAAAAAGTAAAATCGTAGCTGCGACATTTTGTTACGTAAACGGATCCGTTTACGTAACATTATGAAGAGTTCATCCACAGTGTATTCATCATAAGTTTAGTTTACCTACTCACCACTCTCTGCATAAGTGCAATCGAAACTAAATAAGTATATAATGTCAGGCATAAATCCTCATCATGTGAAAGTCCTTGTTCAAAACACATATCACACAAACTATCATTGCTATAAAAATGACTTTTGGTTTAATAGTATTGTCCAATCCAGATCAGATGTAGGTTACCTCGCCTGTATACTCTAGTAATCAGAAGTCTCTACTGATTAAAAAAATATTTTGAGTATACATACAAGGATCGATCAAAAAGTTTCTTACCGTTGGCTCTAGGTTTTATAATAAGAGGAGTTGAATGCTAAAACTTTAACAAGAGACAGGGTAGTTAATTTGCTTGAAACTCTATGAGTTTCATATAATTATAATTTATATGAAACTCATAGCTATAGAGTTTCAAGCAAACTAACTACCCTGTCTTGTGTTAAAGTTTTAGGATCCAACCCCTCTTATTATAAAATCTAGAGCCAACGGTTAGAAATTTTTTCATCTACTCTTGTATAGTAAATAAGAACTAAATAACACAAATGTCTTTGTAAAACAAATTGCTTATCACAGAAGATATGTTTAACGTGTAATTATTGATATACAGGGTGATCCAAAAAGGTAACCTCAACAAATCTTTATATTTCAGTCATCCTGTATGGGTTTAAGATCGTATTTCGCACAATTAAATCTTATTTAATATAAGTTTCATTGATCTACTCAAAAACGGTGAACATTTCATGGTCATTTTACCAAACATGCCCGAAATGCCGGTCTTGTCTTGAAAGCAAACTTGAACGTATCGGGTGAAGTTTTCTGACAACACACTCACAAATATTTTGTGTAATTTCTCTCATTTTCCTTCTACTCTATTGTTTTAGTGAAGTCACAAAAGGTACAATTTTGGGAATTCAGATTGTGTTATTTT